ATGGCGCACTCTCACTTCCCGGTCCGAGCCCTCGGTCCGTGCTTTGCCGAAGACGGGACTCGGTCTGTACCTTTATGCACTTGGCTGAACAACAGGAGCAGCTCACATGCAAATTCCCTGTGCCTGTGGGAGCATGTTACTGGCTTCCTAGTCCAAAATGCTTTCTTTTGAGAGCTCGCCCTACTTTGATTGTAAGCTCTTCCAAGCACTGGGGAGGTGGGGGCAGCGGGGTTAGACCCGGATGGTCATCGCTTCTTCCACACTGTGAACACGGTCAAATTCCAGTTAATTCGTGCGACTCATCTCTAACTCTCTCTCTTGCTTTTCAGGGCCCAATATGCCTTTTTCGTACCCTCTGAGCTGACGCCATTTTAAAAGGCTTGCAATGGATGTTTGCTCCAAGCAAGCTGGTTTTTACAAAATGTGAATTTGCAGTTCAGTTGTCCGGAGGTAGATGTAGGCACAAGCTTCATAGATGCCCCGCTTAAGCTGGACTGGAAACAAATTGCTCACTATCTGGGTAGCTGGTTTTTGTGTTGTTTTACGTGCACACAGGCTGCAGTCGCAGTTTATGCAATGGACTAATTATTATTATAGAAATTAGGTAAAAGTTTCACGGGAGTCGAGCTTGGGGCATCTGAGACCAGCGAAAGGGCCGAGTGCTAAAACCCTGCTGAAAATGTAACACTCGTTTCCCAAGCAGTAGCTTGTGGTTTAGGATGAGGTCAGCAGCTTTAAATGATCAGAGTATGTTGTTTCACATCACTCCCCTACCAGATGTGTAACAATTAAGTATTCATAAAAAAAAAATAAAGATTTTTTTTTTTTTGCAAAAATCTTGTTGGTCTAATAAAAGAGATCATCTCGACTCTGAGTCCTGATTGCCTTTTCCTCCAGACCAATACAGCTACAACCTGGATACCTGACACAATTAAGTGTCCATAAAGCCCATCCAGAAATATTGCCCAGTTTTTTATAGTGCAAATAAAGATGGGATGAATTACTGGCCGTATTGAAATCCACTGAAGTCTTGCCAGTTTTTTTCCGCTTGTCCAGGATTTCCCCAAGGTCTCTACCCTGAGGAAGGGCTTTGATGACTGAAATTAGATTGCACCAATACAAAGGAAAGAAGAGTTTGGCCTTATAATGTGCCAAAGCTAGCAGTCTTATCCACTTCATGAGCTGCCTCCAAACCATCAGCAAAGCACATCACTCCTTGACATGATGCCCTTGTGCTTCGAGCACTGGCCTGACATTTGGGAGGTGGGAAGCCGGGTTGGAGGAGTCTCTCCAGTTCTCTTTGAAAAGCAGAGCCGTGTCTTTAAATGGAAAATATTTAATTGCTTATAACACTGGCAGCGGCTCCAACATTTCTTTTTCCTCTGAGAATGTCAACTCTATTCTCAGCTCAGATGAGACAGACCCACTTGTCTCTTTACTTTGCCGTCCTTATAGTTTCCAGTGAGCCCATTTCTATGGCAACACTGTCATGTTTCTCCATTATTATTTTCTTTTTTTTTTTTTATGCACAAATTGCTTTAAAAAGAGAAAGGGGAAAAATGCAGATTGGGTGAACTCGATTCCAGAATAGAAGGAGAGGTTTCCACTGCCTGATTTCAGAGGCAGTTCAGGGCAGGATCTAAATTTATTTCCTACGAAGACAAGTTATTTTCTACCTTAAATATTATTGGGGCAGGGGAGGGGGGAAGGGATGGGGGAATGCCCTTTTTGAAAATCTCCATTCAGCTCTTAGCACTTGGGAAGGACACATCCGCCCACATGGTCCCAATCAACAGTTCAGTGTTAACAGGATGATCAGAGGCAAGAAATGGCAACTGGAAGGCATCAGCACGTGTTTCCTTGTGTCCACCGAAAACACATGTCCCAGCACGGTGAATCATTTTTGCTTCCCTCGGAGCATAAGGGGAGGAGGCAGACCAAAAAGCACATGCATGCACATGCACGCGTGCACACACGCAGGGCTGTTTTGTTGGGCTCGCTCACCAGATTTAAACACCAAGGGGAAAAATCTGTCCTGGCCAAACTAAAAGGCAAACGTTTCAAGGCTTATGGGGGAAAGGGGGAATTCTTTTCTTTCTGAGTTTTACATTTTGTTTTCAGTCTGTTAAACTCTTTGGAAATGAAAAAGGGAAATGTCTGGTTTTGATCTCGTCAAAACATTTGGCTTTTCGGAACGGGAAAACGTTATTCTGAAGAGGTGGAGGTGAAATGTCTTTCGCCCCTTCCTGTGCACAACTATATACTATGCCAGATTCAACCTAACATGGTGAACGGAGACGTTGCTTTGTGGGGAGAGAGTTTGAGGGGATGTGCATTTTTTCTGCAAATTATCTATGAAAAGCCAAGTTGGCCCAGCTCTGTTGGGCAGTTTCTTTCTCCCTGTGCTTCCACTGCATTGTTTGAGGGCACGACTGGGGCATAACCAAAAGGACCCGTCTGGGAAGGGCATTCAGATGGAAACCACACCGAACTTGTGTCGAATGGAAACCCGGTTGATGTATTTCCCGGGACCGATGGCCTTGTGCCCTGCGCTCTGCATCACCCTGCTGAATGTCCTGGGTTTAGCAGCAGGAGTTTGCAGGCAGTTGCATGCTGTTTCCTTTTGTAGTCAGTGGGGGATTATCGGGCTGCTTCGTGCTTGCTCATATAGGACATAAAATATTTTTCTTGGACAGATCAGATTGCAAGGAAGGGTCAGACCTTGACGTTTTAGCTCGCTGCTCGTTGGGCCAAAGCTTCAACGGGAATTTTAAGTGAACGAAAAGCTCAGATTTTGGTTGTGCCAACACAGCTCTGAGTAGCGGGCAAGGCAAAGTCTTCCCTCTCTAGCGGGAAGCTCTGGACAGCCTTGTACCAGAGCTGTGTCTGGTCCCTCACCTCCCCCCACCCAAGAAATACAGCAGGTCTTGAGCCTGGTAAGATGCATTTTCATCTGTGGCAGGGCATCTCTGCCAGAACGGGTGCCAGCTGGAAGTATAGTGCCCAAAGTGACCGTCTAGCCCCTAGAAAGTCCCTGGTCCTTTCCCTCCTGGCACGCGACCGCTCCCTTGACAGTGCTCACTGTACACGGCCGTACGATGCGATGGTATCCCCCTCCAACCCTGCGGCTTCTCCAGAATTTCAGCTTTCATATTTAAAATAAATGATGGGTCTTCAGCTGCTGAGGGTACAAAGGAGACAACAAAAGGAGCTGTTTGCTCCCAGCAGAATAGCCGCCGCCACCCAGCATATGAACTGCCCTCTTCTTTTTCCCTGGAGGCTTAACTCTGGTTCCCAGCCAGAGAGATTTAAGTGTCACTATATAACTGTTTCATCCTTCACATAGGAAAAAAGGGAGTCACTGCCTTGCAGTGAGTGACGTCTCATTTTAACTATCCAGGTTGTAGCCAGATTGGTCTAGAAGTCAAAAGGAAATCACTTCTGCCAGAAGTTTTGATTATTTTTTTTTCTCATTTTAGCAGCACGTGTGGGTGGGTCCCAGTTTGAGTGGAGTGTCGTGACCTGGCCCTGTCCTGCTGTCTTAGTGGACACCAGTCTGGTGTGAGAAGCGAAGGTCCTGAGCCTCAAATGTGCATATACATTGTCCGCCTTATTTTTGTCGGCAGTTGCTGCAAATGTACGTGCAGACAGCACGGCCGCTGTTTGGCGTGCAGTGATTTGATTTGCATGCTAAGCTGAGGTCATGCTGACATCAGTGCATGTACCATTTCAACACTGTCATTTTTTTTTAAAGACTCAGTCCCCAAGTGTCTGACTCGAGTCTTCGGGAGATCTGTTACCATTCTTGGGAATGGAAAGCACCACTCCTGACTCTTGCTGCTGCCGTTAACCACAAAACAACCCTCCTGCCAGCGTTATGAAACACAGCTGTGATTCTCCGTCCCTAGAAGAGCTTGCACGGAAGCAACTGGGCTTTCTAATGGGAGAGGAGAAACCTAGGAAAAGTGCTCCTGTACACCAGCTGGACCAGAAGCAGGGCTCGAACCCATGGCATCTTCCCGTGCACCCTTTGAACGTTTGCTCGGATTCAGCAGTCAAGCCCCAAATTGGGGCTGAGCAATATATGCTGTATGTAAAATAGCTGAGGATATAAGAGCTTGCTAGCTGGAGTGCAGCACGAGCTGAGAGTGACTGCAAATTGCTTGCAACTTGACAGCTGTTTGATCTGCGTGCGAATTATTATTTGGCTTTCCCAGGCTCGTTCCTGTTTGGAGGGATGTCCACGTCACAAAATCCTCCCACCCATTTGGCTCAAACAGACAGTCCCTGTCGCAAGGGGATAAATGAGATGAGCAGTAGAGATGGGGCCGCTTGTATTCCTTTAAGAGTGACCCGTCTAGGTCAAGGTTGGGAAGGGGCAGGGTAGAGGGTTGGTTTGCTGCTCTGCTCTGTTGACCCTGTGCCTAAAAGCAGGTGTTTGTCTTTGATCGTAGTACTTAGGGTCGGATGGGACCTAAACAAATCATCAGGTCCGACCCCCAATTTTCAGTCTGTTCCTGTACTCTGGCTCTGAGCCACTGTCAAGCCGGTGCTGAAACCGAAATAAGAGTCCAGATTATGCGTGGCTCCTTGGTCAGCAGGGAGACTAAACAGGTTTCAAGCTCCCCTCTCTGCCAATCCACAGGGGTTATGAACTGGTATAGGTCCCTCGCACTAAATTTTAGCTCCGACTGTAACTGTTCATGCTTCTTTTCTCCGCAGGTCACGGGTTCAGTTCCTGGAAAAATGGACCAGGTCACTGGTTAAGTTCAGGCAAAATAGGCATCACCCAAGTGTTGCCCAACCACTTGGCACCATTGCCCGCTCATAATAGCACTTTCCCATGCTTTGGAGAGCCCAAATTGCACGCTCCCACTGCAAAATGACAGCTCCCCCTCCCCTGGAGAACCCCAGCCCTGAGGCCTGAACCGGATCAACGTAGAGAAACCTGCTTTTGACTATTTTAGTGTGGTCTGAGTCAACCTCTGTTTCTCCTTCAGGTCCAGCCGGCTGGGACCATGGCTACGAGCGCCGTTCCAAGTGATAACCTCCCCACATACAAGCTGGTGGTGGTCGGAGATGGTGGCGTGGGAAAGAGCGCTCTCACCATTCAGTTTTTCCAGAAGATTTTTGTGCCAGACTATGATCCAACCATTGAGGACTCCTACCTGAAACACACGGAAATAGACGGACAGTGGGCTATTCTGGACGGTGAGCAAACTACTTCCACTCTGATTGATTGTTCTCCAGTTGTTCGGGAGGAATCCAAGGGCAGCTCTGTCCTGAAACTTTCCATAACTTGTTGTGCTTTTATGGATTTTCAGCTTTACTGTCGCTGATGTGTGGTTTTGGCACAAATCATTGTATGCACTGTTTGTGCACACTAAGCAATGAGCCTCTTGTAAAGTTGAAACTGTGGCTTGCATTGTGCCACGATAGTCTACTGTATCAATGGCTCATTGTCCAGCTGGAAGGATGCATCGAGTGGGGTTCCTCAGGGGTCTGTCTAGAGTCTGCTCCTAGTTAATATTTTTATTAATGACTAGAGAGATGGAGCAAGGTCCGCTTCTTATGTTTGCAGCTCACCCTATGCTGAGTGAGACTGCACGCTCTTTGGAGGACAGGATTCAAATGTAAAGCGATCTTGGTAAATTGGAGAAATTGTTTGACATAAGTAGGATGGCGTTCGCAGGCAGGAGTTTAGTAAGGAAAAGTGCAAAGGGAGTGCACTTAGGTGACAGCTATCGACTGGATAGAAACAAGAGCGGGGCAGGTAGGAGCGCTGCAAAGAAAAAGGATCTGGGGGTTATAGTGGATGACAAACTGATACCAGTCAACACAGTACTGGGATGTATAAAGGACAGTATCATACGTAAGACATCTGAAGTAATTCTTCCCCTCCAGTCGGTACTGGTCTCAGCCTGGAGTGGTGTTTGGTTTGAGATGCTACACTTCAAGAAAAAGGTAGTCCAATCAGCAAGAGCCTAGGAGAGCAAAAAAAAATACTCTAAGAACTAGAAAAAATGACCATCTATGAGGAAAGATTGAGGGCAGACATAACGGTCTTCAACTATGTAAAGGGTTGCTGCAAAGAGGATGGTTATAAACTGTTTTCCCTACATGTAGGACAAGAAGTTATGGGCTTCAATTTTAGCCGGGGAGATTTGGGGTAGGCACTAACTGTAGGGATAGCTAAGCATTGGAATAAATTTCCCAGGGAAGCTGGGCAATTTGTCACTGGAGGTTTTTAAGGACAAGTCACATAAGCATCCGTCAGGGTTGGCGTAGGTAGAGTTGATTCTGCCTGGGGGCACTGGGGGGGGAAGGCACTTGATGACTCTCAAGGTCGTTTCCAGCTCTTTATTTCGGTGATTCTTGCATTAGCAGAACAACCTGTTTGTCATGTAGAAAGCTGCTAGAGCACATGCTCTTCGTTTTATGGCCCTGTTTACATGCCACCTTGTCTCTGGCTCCATCTGTGCTTCTTCCTTTTGAGCAGGGTTGAGTTTTCCTCATCGAGATGCCCTTCCTTGCCGCCTTCCTCGCCCTCCTGCTCTCCCGTTGATAGAAATCCTCATCAGTCGTTGTTCTGAAGACTTGACGAGCCTCCCCGTCCCATGTAGTTGGCATCTTGTCCCAGTACACGAGGGGGCCTAAAATATTAACACAGGCTGCGATAACCACACGTGCCATTTGGAGTCATCTGTAGGCATCCAAATTGAGCAGAATTACTGTGCTGATTATGAAGCATCCATTGCGATTAAATAGCAGTGTAGTTAATTGTGTAGCCTGGAAGAGGCCCTGCCTAAGTAGCGCGCGCTGCTATAACAGTGCATGTGTATCTGAACGAAGACTGGACTCAGAATGAAATGCTCACTCCGGGAGACATTATCCTCTCATCACTGAAGGAGCACGTTGCCACTTACATAAGAGGAGGGAGTTTCTGTGACTGGTTCGACACCCTTTTAACATACTGGTGAAACACCTGTCTCTGAAGTGCTGGTTGCATTTGAGGTGTACACACTTCCTTTTATGACTTTTTGGGGGGGAGGTCAAACCAGAAAAATAAACTCGTTAAAAAATGTAGATTATTGGTTAAAGGAGACAGAGACTAGAACCTCATCAGAAGAGTTTATTGTCCACATTCAAAAAGTTGACCTTTTCTTGTGGTTGTGTAGCACAGAAAATCTCGGCACGTGTATTTGACGAAGTAATTGACGTGTGACGTGCATGCTCCAGTAAGAACAGCCAGTGCATGCCGACCCTAGGAGATCGGAAGTTAAGGAAACCATTCTCCCGACTTAAAGAAAACAGCACGAAAAATGCTCTTTAAAACATTAGCATGCCATCCACCAAAACTCATCGAAACACCCACAGACTCCCCGGCTCTTGCATCGAGCCACTCTCCATGCAGGCACCCACTCCTCGCGAACAATCCCGCTCCACCCCTGCCTTGTTTATTGTCGCAGTGCCCAAGAAGCTCTGGCATTGCGTAGGTATGAAGTTGGACATTGGTATATGCGTGTGCTTTTTTCTTTTTAATTACAGAAAAGAAGGAATGTGAAAACATCAGTGTGGGGTCTTCAGAAGGGGCGGTTGTGTGTATAACGTATCGTTTTAATCTTCAAAGACTTCCGTTCTTTTTCCCCTGTTAGACATAAATTCATTTATTGAGAACTCGGCTGCATTCCTAGGAGCATTTTAAAGGCTTAAAATTTAGTGAAGAAATCAGTCCCTGAAGCATATTAAACCTACTTTAAGGCCTCAATCCTGCAAATACGTGTGTGTTTAGTTGTTGATCATTTTTATGCAAAGTTAAGCACACAAATGAGTGCAGAATCAGGCCTAAATATACATACATAAATACATATTTAGCAGCATTAAAGCAAGGCCAGCTTTTAACAGCTATAATGTTTTTACTTCGGCTTTGCTACAGAGCGAAACCAAACCCTGCTGTAAGTGGCAGCATGTCACTGTCTGACCTGGTCCCTGCATCCAGAAATGAGTGACCTTTGCCTTCTGTGGTCTGCCATAATAGCGGCTGTTGCATATTAGAACCGACTGAAACTTGTATTATATTTTAGCCAAACTTGATTGTTTTCACTGAACGTGGGGAGTTGGGGGTGTTTTGGTGAAGAACTTTTCTTTTTTCTTCAGTTTTCAATAAATGGATTTTTTTCCTCTCAAATTTCTGTTTTAATCAAAAAGCGATACATAATAAATACATGATCCTAGCTCTAGGCAGTGCCTGTTTCAATGCCCCGTGAGTTGAATTCACCTATATCCTGGAATGGCATTCTGGGTTTCGAGTTCCCCTGACCCTTGTGATCCTGCTGCCGTGAAGGTAGCATTGCAACAGCCTCTCTCCTTCCCTTTTCTCCCCTCCCTGCCTCCTTCCTGCCATGCATAAGCTATTGGATCATTAGCCTAGTTAGTGCAAAAGAAAAGGACCCTCTTATTTGGAGCAGCATGTGGCCCTTGCCATCTGCCTGGGGGAAACAAATGCATAAAGACTGCCTTTTTCACATTTCCTTTGCCACTGTTCTTTAAGGGCTTGAAGTAAAGCCCATTGAGTCAATGGGTATGTTTCCATTAACTTCTCTAGGCTTTGGATCAGGTCCCAATATTGCAGAACAGCACATCCTCAGACAGCTGGCCTTGGGGTAGCTACACGCTAAAGCATGAATGATTAAAGCAATAAAGTCAGGGACAAGCGTGACGGAAGTGAAGCGATGCATTATGACGATAAACTTCAGCCTCGCCAGATTTCCTTGAATGCTTCATGGGTGGCTAGAGCCTTTGCCAAGCGGCGTTGCATCCAAAGCATTGGCAAAGAAGAACGGGGGCTGTCTGCAAAGGACATGATTGCCAAGTGAAGACCTAAAATGAGCAGGCTCCATGAATCTCTTGTGATGCCGAAGGAAAAGGAAGCTGGAATGGATTGGCATTGAACACGCTCTTCCTCTTGCTTTCTTTCCCAACAGGCTGTTGACAGCATAGCTCCATGCAAAGCCTCTGCAGCAGATATTGCCCATAATAATGTTCCAGCATTGCATTTAAAATTTTACTAACTGGTAAGTTAGTATTAAAAGATTATTAGTGTATTAAAACTTTGGCTCCTCTTGAAGCAAAACCTGATCCCACCCTCATTTTATAACAGAGTAACTGGCAACGTGATGAGGCCTATCGGAGTTGTGTAATTTTTTCCCCCCGCCTTCCCTTCTCTTACTTGAACTCTGTTCAGATTCATCCGCTTTTATTTCAGCCTTTTGGCCTTGGAGTCGAACACGAGTTCCCATGCATCTGTCATGAATTTGCTTTCCAACACCAGTCAGGTCTTCTTACTCAGTTTACCTAATTGCTAAAGTAAGTAAACATTATTGCCCTTTCTTCACAGAGCTCTGTGTGAGATGCATTGCTTAAGCTTTTAAAGCAGGTTGTAGGTGGGAAAGTACTGTACAAGTGAAAAAATAACCATTAATGGTCCTAATCGATCCAGCTTGTAGGGCTGCTGCTGCAGCGTTCAGGAGCACGTGTCTGGAGAATACAATTGGGAGCCTTATGAAATAAGGGAAGCTCATATAAAAGCAAGTACTAGCCATGAATTATAGGATGCTGTTTCCCAGGGGAGGTTTTATGAGAGCTGCTTCCATTTTCTCTGCACTCAGCTATTTTCATTATTTCCTGCTGTCCCCACGGAGGTCAGAGTGGTTGTACTCTGCTGGCTTAAATGTATTCAGACACCTACAACGTATACACACGTTGCAGGTCAGAATTAAACGGATCCCAGAGTTAATCTAATTTGGCTAGCTTTAGCCTTAATTTGAGTTTCAGCCATCAGTCTTACACACCTCTTCATTTGAGAGAGATGAATCAGTGATTGGCAAAGGATTTCTTTTGCTAATGTGACTGTTAAACGCCAAGGTGGAATGATTATTCTGGACAGGAAGCCTAAGTGTATTGCTCTAGCCAGGCACTAATTCCTACCGGCTCAAAACCCACCCAGAGGGAGAGGGGATGTAGGTTGGGAGATCAACAAAACGTCTCTTAAAATAGGCCACACTGAGGTAGTTATCACATTACTGAACTCGGCACGTTTGACCTGCCTCCATCCTTTGCTGGTGAGCATCAGCGTAGCGGAGGAATAACAACGGGACTGGCCACGCGTGGGGGTAGCAGCAACTTCTGTGTCACCCGTTTGGCTCTTTCCA